TGACTAATTTTGAAGTAACAATAGGGTCAGTCCTTTCAAATTCACAAACAATGACTACAATAAATAGCTATCACTGGATATCTAATCTTACATGTCACAGTAGATACCAAACAACCCTCTTATACCCTTTACTCCTATATTTTAAGTACTTCATAAATAATGACTAAGTTAAAACAAGACAAAGATATATAGACCCTAAATATATAAAATAACACATTATTCACTCGATTATAAGTACAATAAAATCCTAAGTACAGAAAATAAAGAAAAACAATATTTTACATAATATTATTATTAATCTTTAAATAACGCTAATATAAACATTAAAAATTTCGTGAAAACACGAAATGAGACTACAGTAGTCTGCAAAAAAGTATATAAATGTGTTTCAAAGTGACCAATTATTCATTTCTGACGTAATTTTGGAGAATAAGTCAAGGCCGTATTTATAAGGAACCGTTGATATTCCTCCCGCGTAAAGTTCAAAACATAATACGAGAATACATGGTGAAGGTAACGGATATTAAATCTTAATTTATATATGGATCAGGGTAGGTGACAGATATAAGGCACGAGTATTGTCGCGTGAGTTTTGATAAAGAGTGAGGTAGGGTTAGTTCATCCTGTTGGCTAACTTATACGTATCAACTAATAATGAACACTAGCCCGACACAAGTGTGATATTAAAATCGATAATATTGACGAACTTACGCTCACTTCTAACTGCCTCTTCACTATTTATATCACTGATACTGCTGTGAACGCTTTGCTCTTCCATTTTGGCCGTTAGTTACAACATCGTTTCACTTGTACGCTCTTCTTCGCACTGATTATTCCGAGCGCCTCCTATGGGCGAATACAGCCAAAGAAAAGACCCGGAAAAATAAGAAAGAACAGTGGAGCTTCGATGGCACACTATATAGTACTCTTGCCTCGTACAGACGATATCAGAGTTCGAATCCTGAACAGGTCCCCCACGTGAATCTTTTTCATAGATCCCACATTACGCGAGAAACCTATCAAGTACAACATTGCCTCTCCAATGTCGCGCTCGGCTAGGCGATCTCTCCAGCGTCACGGTTTTTACCCCTACTATTTCAACGCGCATACAATCGCGCGCAATCCTTCAAGAAAGAGAAAAACTGATGAATGAGGAAGACAGAACCAAAGCAAACTTTCATGTATGAAGCCGGACAGATAGTGTATACATAAATTAAGTTAAACGAAACTTAATACGCGCCTTTTATAATATTTTCGTTTTGTATTGCAGGCTTTTGTTATTGAAAAAAACATGAACAATAAGAGTAAGACAAGTTATCTTATGTTGCAGGTCCGTTTGTTTCACGGAATTAGAAATTCCTAAGTCCGTAGTCTGTTCGATCACATATATTTGTGCGCAGTGCGCACGTGTGCCCTCTCGCTCGCTCACCACTACCTCTTTTTGTTTATGGCCGTGAGGGCAGCACTATTGTAATAGCGAATCGGTAACCAATTAGAATAAACACAATCTTTCTCTGACTTCCTTAATGTTGCATCGCGCCTGCTGAATTGCGAGACGATTGGAAGACAAAACTGTACATATATACGTATATAGTTGCACATATCTGAACATATACGTGTTGCATATACAAGCGCGTATACACGCATCTGTTCACAGTCGCATCATTATTTATGTGACGTGATCAAAATTTAGCTTTCGGTTCGCTTAAATTTGAATGAGGTATAAAACCAATCTTTTTTCTTCATTTTCTCCGTTTTTTATTAGACTCCAGCGCAAAACAATGAATTATGAATGTTCACAAAGTAATATAATATTCACTTTCAATATTTTTCTTTATTCTGCATTAAAATTTAAAGGTATACTTCAATATTGCAATAAGTATTTTAGATTGAACGTTATAAACTAAATGATTTTTAATTATAGTTTACAATATTTCTCACGTAGCACAAAATCTAAAAATGTACACCCTATATAAATGGATATAATATATTTAAATTTGTTATTAATTTATTATTCAGATTTTAGAATTTCATTATTTATATTGAAATAATTGCAAATAATTGATATATTATTATTGTAAACAGTTAACAAGATCGTTTTTGTTATAACTTCGATAAAATAGACTTCAACATCCATCAATAACAATACGACTGTATATATGCTCCAATATTGGCACTAAACAACACTTTCTACCATCAATGTTTATTTAAAATCCATCACAAATATGACAGACTTGTGATCCATTCTGTTTTCCTGCTCGACTGTGCTCAACACAACGTCATAGCATTGCACATAGACGCAATTATCAGTAATAGCGACACCGCGCTTGTCTCTACTTATCTTCGACGTTTTCTTTTATACTTCTCTACCCACTTGCCATTGTTCACAGATCGCTGAAATTCTGCTTCTTTCCTTGTAAATATAACGCGCGCACACTAAACAAATTCCACTCACTTCAGATTAGTACGAACAACTTGCTTTATCGTTCACAAAGAGACTTGTAAATTTTGATTGCAATTAAAACAGAGCAATATAGTAACTACATTTTGCAATAGAATTTTGAGACTGATATAAATGCGTAACAGTCTAAGTTGAAAGATCGTATTTTATTAATGTTAAATGACTTTAAATAGTTGGACGATCAACAAACGATTTTCAGATCTTGTACGCGCCGTTACTACTTACTACATACTCACATAAACATGAAGTTATCGCCAAAAACATGGTGCCACTACTGCCACTTGTATATCATATACATACTGCCAACAGAACTCTGCTATGTACAATTAACACAGACTTAAGATCTATATGTACACATACAGATTTTTATATATCGAAACCATAGTCACGTGGAACAATGCTCGGTTCAAAAGTCTGCAAATGTGAAATTAGACGATCAGACGTGTCAAACGTCAGAAATCAGATCTCTGCAATTTATAAGTTACCACATAGCGCATCAAAAAACCGGGCGTACACTATCGTATCCTCTGAGATTTTACATATTAATATTCATTTTACATGTATTATGTATGTTACAATTTAATAACACGGATGTCATTCTACCAATGAGTAGTTAATAATATTTTCATTGTTATGTTCACAAATGTGTCATTAAATACGTAATGCATGATAATATTCATGAAAATATCAAATATAAAATTCTACATTTAAGTATGAAGGTATACTTAAAGCAAGAATATAATTGAACCATTACTGAAACATGTCAAATTTTAATGAAATGTGTATATTATAAATGTTCGCAGTTAAAAATACAATTAATTTTTGGTAAATGAAAACATTAATAAATACTTATAATAAAGCAAACACTCATGTACTTAAATATATATTTAAAGATTATAAATATATAAACTATGATTTTACACATGTGTTTCATAAATACATAAATTTATATTTGTTGTATTGAATATGCAACAGATTGGTACAATCCAAATTAAATTGTAAACAATTCGTGATATTTTATTGAAATTCTATTACTTTTTATTCTCTCATATAAATAACATGGACAATGTAGCTAATGCATAAATAATGTGTCTATTTTTAACCAAACATGACTGGTAATTACACATAGTATGTACACATGAATGCTTAAAAATCTGAAATTTAATTTTGTTTTGTTTCAAACCTGGTATTTCACAGAAACAATATTTTAAAATCAAATACATTTGTTTCNATGGACAATGTAGCTAATGCATAAATAATGTGTCTATTTTTAACCAAACATGACTGGTAATTACACATAGTATGTACACATGAATGCTTAAAAATCTGAAATTTAATTTTGTTTTGTTTCAAACCTGGTATTTCACAGAAACAATATTTTAAAATCAAATACATTTGTTTCGTCACTCGCAAAACTGTGCGTGTCTAATTACTATTACATGGAGAGACAATAAAAAGAATGTCGAAAATACTATTTTCATGGAACATTATTAGATACATGCTATAAATTTATTCAATACTAATTTGTTAAATAAAGAAATAACGTATTGTAGAAATTTACCCTGCATGCTTTAAAGAGTTACATGCTGTACATAAATTAAAAGTGTCAAATTCAGAACAGAAGTCTACAAATTTTTACAATTGTATTTCTATTTTGCATTAAAAATTTTTCACATTTGT